TAAAGAAAAATAACATTTTGTGATGTGAAATTTACATGAAATGCAAATTTCAGTGTCCATAAACAAGGTTTTATTAGAACACAGCCATACCCATTCATTTACATATTGTCAATGGTTTAATTTACACAGTAATGGCAAAATATAGCAGTTCTAACAAAAGGCTGACCTGCAAAGCCTGCAACATTTACCATCTGGTCTTTACAAAACAAAAGTTTGCCAACTACCATTTTAGGGGTAAGACAGCCAATAAACAAGTAATCAATTAAACCAGACAATTACGATTCTGAGGGGAACCCTGAAGGAAATACCTGGATGATGAAATCTCATAACTACTTTCAATAGGTTGGGAAGGAAAGAAATAATAGGCAAGCTGAATCCATACAGAAAGGTGGAAGGAAAGTGTTGTAGGTGGCAGCGGCAGCAGCAAGGTCGGTGACCTGGAGAGGGAGAGGATCTGCTGTGCCCTGTGGATAGAATGAGGCCAGCACGGCTGGAGTAGGTGGGCAAAGTGATGGGAGACGGAGAGGTAGTCAGGATACATCGCACAGTATCTCAGAGACCCTGATAAGGACTGTATTCTGAAAGCAAAGAAAAGCCATTAAAGGATATTAAATAGAGGAGGGGTGATACGATCTGATATGCATTTTCTAGAAGGCTTCTCTGGCTGTTGTGTGGAGAATGAGTTTTGGAGAGGACGAGAGTAGAAGCAAGGAGACAACATAGGGCACTATTATGGTCCAGGCAAGAGATGGCCCTGATTTGCATTACAGTGGCACTGGATTTGGAGAAGTATAAAAAGTCTTTGAGATGTATTTTGAAGGTGGCACCTGCTCACCTTAGTGACGGATTTGCCCTCAAGTTGAGGAAAAGGGAGACTTTAAGACTGTTTCCTAGGCTCCTGACTTGATCAACTAGGGCTGTGACGGTGCCATTAACCTAGATTAATTCATTCAAAAAGTATTTTTTGAATGTCTGCTACATTATGATCACTGATCTAGCCTCCAGGAAACAGCAGTGAAAATAAGAAAAGTGATCAATAATAGGGACACGTAACTATACAAAACATTAGATAATGATAAAAGCAATGGAGAGAAGGAAGAGTAAGAGGGAAGGTGGGGCCCGTGGGGGGTCTGCGAAGGTAGGAGGAGGTGCCTAGCTGTGAAGCAACTCCTGATAGGACTTAGGCCTAAATAAAAGATGATATTTCTATTGTCCCAGTTAGAATAACCACTCTTCTCAAAAAAAAATTTTTGGCCAACTTGTTTATTATTTAATTTAGTTAAATATGTATATTTAAAATCACATACAAAGTAATTTAAATAAAATGCATAACTTTAAAATAAATTACATTAAATTTGCCAATTTCATGTCTTTAAAAAATTCATAGAATCCACAATTTTAATATATAGCAGCAATATTAATTACAGATGTAGCTTGAGAAGTATTTTCTCAAAATCTATAAAGACCTATTTATATCCTTTTTTTCCCTCTACAGTATCATGTTGGGTACTAGCTAACTAACCAAATGAATCAGTTGATCCTCACCATGTTCAAGCTCAGGCAACACCTGTGTATGAGAAGGCAAAGCTGTTATGGCAGAGCAAGACCGGCAGCCTGACAACAGGCAGCACAAGTGTGTCACGACTTAAAGGGAAACCATTACTCCCAGATCAAGGCTGTTCTTCACCAGACTCACTGCTCAGGGGACACTTGAAGATGGCTCACCAAGGGCGAGTTGTGCCAATATGGCTGAGAGAAAAGAGTTTGAGGAATTTGCAAGGGAGTGTTTTTAGATGATGACAGAAAGCAGGAAAATCCACAGTGATTTGCCTTCTCTTTCCTCCCTTCCCTGGGGCCAGAGGAGCTCACAAATTTGTCTGCACAACTGGGCACTGAAACTGCATTAACAGACTCACCTGAGTGATAAGACTGGAGTAGATGTCACTCGGATTAGGCCAATGGCAAGGAGGTTTTCCCAGCCTCTCAAAATTCCTGTTGCCACTGGGCTACCAGTGAGGGACTATAAGAAATATAAAATAGCTCTGTACCAGATGTCAAAAGATGCAAGTTGTAATCCTATCTCTCACATTTATTATCTTGGTGACTCTGGGCAAACTTTTCAACCTCCATAAGACATAGTTCACCCATCTGTGAAATGGGAAAATAAATCATACCTGCTCCTTTCCAGACCTAGAGGAGCATCCTTGCTTCTGGGTACTGTTCCCTCACTGGCATCTGAAAGTTTCATAATGCCTGGCTTCCATATTGCAGGAGGTCACATGGCAGAGAGAAAAGAGAAAGAAAGCCCATGGCGGGCAGCCAGAGTTTGGTCCAAAGCAACACTACTCTTGCATGCCATGTGACTATGGGCAATGTACTTAAGGTTTCTGCTTTTTTGAAAATTACATAGAGTAATTTTTTCACTATGTAGTGACACTTAATGTCCTTTATACTATGGACACTTAATAAATGGTAGCTGTTATTATTATTATTCTAAAAATGATGACTGTAG